CAAAAATTCTAATGGGATAGCGTTCGGCCCTTAAAAAAAAAAAAAACAAAACAAGACCCTGGCATGTGATAGAAAGTGGTCAAATATGGAAGATTTACTGCTGAGTGAAGCAAGCCAGGCTATGAAAGAAAATAGTATATATATCCACTTAATATATGTCCAGTATCTGCACTCTATGATAGAGACTGAAATATTGGAGGGCATAAAAGCAGTTAAAATAGTTTTAGATGCTGAAGACAGTGTTGAATGGAGGCCGATGGAGAAAAAGGAAGAGTATAGAGAAGGAAAACAGGAGAAAAAAATAGAGAGGCATGACATCTGTGGGACACAGAAATTATCATTTTTTTGGAGAGGTTTTTGCTATAGGGAGGGTGTGCTCACCAGAAAGACAGAGAGAGACAGAGAGACAGAAAGTGAGAAATCACCCCCGGGGAGGATGGCCACACCACAATCCCTTCTCCTCCATTCTCCTCTTGGGATCTTGGGCACACATGCACACGTGCCCAGTGTGAGTTTAAGCCACTGGGTCCAGGGCTTGAACCATGGTCGACTACATGGGAGTTTAGTGACATAGCCATTACACTAACTGCTGGTCCCCAGAAATGATTTTTATCTGTTGATGATAACATGTATAATATTCTCAATTGGACTGGTTTAAGAAATATTTCATGTTAGGTAAATTCTCTTTATAAGCCAAATGATGTATAGTGATTGAATGTTTTAAAAAAAATAAGAATAAAAAAAGGAAAATAAATTGAAGAAGGGCAAAACTGATCATCGTCAAAGGATTTCTACTAGAATTATGCTACTTTACTTCCTTCTGCTCCTAATTCTTAAGATATCTGAGTAGGGGGCCCGCAGGTGGCATGATGGTTAAGGGCACTGGACTGTCACATGGTCAACCATGGTTCAAGTACTAGACCTGGTGGTTTGCTTTCTTGCTTTCCTTCTCTCTCTCTTCTGTGTATGTGTCTCTGATCAAGTTGAAAAATAATAATAACAAATAAAGTTAAATAAAATAATTCTTAAAGAAAAAGTATTTTAGTAGGGGCCTGAAGGTGGCATGGTGGTTGAGGGTGCTGGACTCACACATGACCAAACACGGTTAGAGTTCCGGACCTCGGGGCTTGCTTCTCACTTGCCCTCACTCTCTCTCACTTTCTCTCTCTGGCCAACTTAAAGATAATAATATTAACAATAATAATAATGATAATAATAAATTAATTCTTAAAAAAAAGATATGAGTCATTTGTGCATAAATTCAGAGTGTATATCATTTGGCAATAAAACTCCAAATGAAAAATAAATAAATAAGAGGAGGAGGATCCAGCAGTTAGCGTAATGGCTATGTCGCTGGACTCCCACGTAGTCGACCGCGGTTCGTGTCCCG